GCACACTAAAACCATACAAAATTGCAATTTTTTTCTATGCTAGTTTTTGTGAAGTACTCACATGGACTGTTTTTAGTTGTCATCAAAGAACCATTGATTTTATAAAATGTGTTTAAATTAAACAGTTTAATGCCAGAACGATTATACAATAATAATAATAATAATAATTCAGTTGTTAGTTTGTAACTAAGTAAAACTTTTGTTAGTCTTCCATTAATATATGCTTTAAATATGACTGTTTTAAAGTTATTATATATAAACATAAAAGTAAAAAAACACATAAAACCTTGGCGATACATTTCATATTTCGCAATGACATGACATGACATGAATGACATATGTATTTACCTTTCTATTTATCTTTCTTTTTCATATTTGAAAATCTTTCTTGTCGAGTTATTAAGCATTTAAGTTTTTAAAAAACGTGGCAACGCTGTATCTCTGATAACCTAAAATAGTTGGGCCAAATACGTATGACTGCTACATCAGGCGGGCCGCAACAACCTATATGACAATAAAACTTAACATTTAAACGTTATCATTTATTTCATAATTAATGACATTCGGCTACATATATCTGTACACTTTTTTGCATATGTGACGCGATCCGAGAAAGTTTGAGTATGGCTGGTATGGTAGGTAAATAATAAATTATTTTTAGTTGGTTACTTCCATTCTTCAAATACGGCTACAAAAATGATCTCCAACTTAAAGACATGTACAACACCGTCAACGAAGACGCAACAGGCCCTCTTGCGGACGAACTTGAAAAGTAAGCACCAAAAAAAATTAGGATAAAATATTAATAGCAAAAACCCATTTTCAGACACTGGCTAGCAGAAATCCAAAGAGCAAAGAAATCAAACACCACCCCGCACTTGAGCACAGCCATCAAAAAGTCATTTTGGAAATCATATGCTGTATTTGGGTTCTCTTTATTCCTGCAATGTGTTGTGATAAAGTAAGCATTATTATTTTTAGTCTAACAAAAAAGTTCCCTGGAAATTCCAAGTTGGAATATGACAAACAAAATTCAGTTAAAATCACAACTGTTTATTTCAATTTTATAACCTTTGGGTTCCTTGAGAAAACGCTGTAATTAAGAAGGCGTTAATGAATTTTAAACTAATAGTTCGTTTACTTTTAGAATGATGCAGCCCTTAGTTATAGCATGGTACATAAATTATTTTACAGATGACCCAAATAAAGATACCAAGTTGGGGTGGATCTTGGCTACAGCTGTCACCTCTATGGCTTTTGTAAATATTTTAATATCACATCATACAAATTTGGGTTGTCAAAGAATTGGACTTAGAGTTAGAGCAGCTTGTGGTTCTTTAGTATACAGAAAGGTATATAGAGCCATAGATGCGCTATAGTTGGTATAAAACCAAAAACTACAGATTTCTTTTTAGCTTTTGAGATTGAACCAAAAGTCTTTGGGTAAAACAGCTGCTGGCCATTTAGTAAACCTACTCTCAAACGATTTACAAAGATTTGATCAAGCTTCAGCAATGTTGCATTACATTTGGATTATGCCCATCCTAGCCTGCATAGCATCCTTTATTATGTACTCCAAAGTCGGATTTGCATGCTTGGCAGGTCTAATAACCATCACCATACAGGCTGTGCCTATACAAGGATATTTATCCAAGCTTCAGGGACAATTGAGGTACAAGGTCGCTGAAAAAACAGACTTTAGAGTGAAGCTGATGAATGAGATTACTTCGGGGATACAAGTTATTAAAATGTACGCTTGGGAGATCCCTTTCCAAAAAATGGTGGAAGCTTCCAGAAAATATGAGATAGATATAATAACGAAAACTTCGTATATAATGGGCTTTACTAAGGCTTTGATGGTGTACACTGAAAGAACCACGCTCTATTTAACTTTAATAACCTATGTACTTATGGGGTATAGGCTCACAGGTATAAATCTAAAAAAAGTTTTTCCTTCGGATTTGAAGAAAAACTGTATTTTCATTTTTTTGTTCAAATTCGCTATTTTTATTTTTATAAAATTATTTGCAAATTTTAAAAATTCTAATTATATGCTTTATTGAAAGTAAGTTTTCAATGGCAACAAACGTAAAAAACAGCCATATGATACTACGACTTGGTTTGAAAAAAAAACTGAAAAGTACAAAAAACGGATGTTTTTTTTACGTAACACCCTCTACTTACAGGTGAGGTTGTTTTCTCCATGGCGCAACTATTTAACACTGTACAGTTGTACATGTGCATATTTTATCCCATGGCAGTGTCCTCCCTGGCTGAAGCAAAGGTTTCCATTAAAAGACTGGAGGAATTTTTGACCCTTGATGAAACAATGGAAGAACCCAAAGACAAAGCAATATCAGCACAACCAGGTTTAATAAAGCTAACAAAAATAAACGCTAGTTGGATACCAAACCCGATAGTCGACACTCTACGCAACATAGACTTGAACATTCCGCCGGGTACCTTATGCTGCGTGGTCGGTAATGTAGGTGCCGGTAAGAGCTCTCTCCTGCAATTACTGCTAAAAGAACTTCCCTACTCGAGCGGTAAACTTGATGTACAGGGCGATATAACCTACGCCTCGCAAGAGCCGTGGTTGTTTGTCTCAAACGTGCGCAACAATATTCTTTTCGGCCAACCCTACGTACAAAACAGGTACAAACAGGTGGTCAAAGCATGCGCACTAGAAAGGGATTTTGAACTTTTCCCCTTTGGAGATAAAACTTTAGTGGGAGAAAGGGGAGTCTCTCTATCTGGGGGTCAAAGGGCGAGAATCAACCTAGCTAGGGCCGTATACAGAAAATCGGATATTTATTTATTCGACGACCCGTTATCAGCCGTCGACACCCACGTGGGTAAACATTTATTTGAGGAGTGCATAAAGAAGTACTTAAACAAAACGACAAGAATTTTGGTTACCCATCAACTGCAATTCCTCAAGGATGCCGACCTTATTGTTGTATTGAACAATGTAAGATTATTTACAGTATAATTTTTCAGATTTTATAAATATCTTTTTAGGGCCAAGTCGAAAAAGTTGGTACTTATTCGCAGCTTTCTTTAAGCGAGTTAAAGCATATTGTAGCTGAACAAAATCAGGAGCAAAAAAACCAATATGTTAAAGATGAAACAATGGAAATAGTTAAGAGGGATAGGAGTGTGTCTGTTACTTCATATGCTGTAAGAATATAATTTTTTTACTCTAAATTAGAGAAAACATTAAAAAGTTGTTTACCTTGAAAAGTCTTATAAAATGCAGTTTTTTTTAAACTACTACTTTTAGAGCTCCATAGATGATGAAAGGGAGCCTGAAGAGACTGAAGAACTTATGGCTAAAGGTGCTTTATCCACACAAGTATACAAAGAATATTGCAAAGCTGGTGGAAACGTATTTGTTATAATGTTTTTACTATTTTTACTTGCTATAGCGCAAGCTTCCAATAACGCGGGAGATATATGGCTACGATATTGGTAAATAACATTTGTTAAAATAATTTTACATATTAATAATTTTTTTTATATTTAGGACTAATAATGAAGAAAGCAGCGATTTAACCAATGATACTACAAGTGCTATAAATAACACGAAATCAAATGTTACTAATTTAATAAGCAATATGACAACTTCTACTGATATTCCAGAACTTTGGAACGAAAATGAAGATTATATCCAAAAAAGAAATATTTATATTTACGTTTACACATTCTTTATAATAGCGGCGATTATATTGACTAACGCCAGATCAATGTTATTTTTTAAAATTTGCATGAATGCTTCCCGAAATTTACACAATAAGATGTTTATAAACATACTTCAAGCTCCTATGAGGTTTTTCGATACTAATCCTTCAGGTGAGTAAATAAAACAATGTACGCGTAATAATGAAATTATTTATTTTTATCTTTCTTCATATTGTCGGATTTTAATCTCAACGCGCCAGAAGAAGTTCAAATACAAAATATTTTTCTTTTAGGAAGAATTCTGACAAGATTCTCCAAAGACATGGGCGTGGTCGACGAATTATTACCCAGGGCAACCCTTGACGCCCTACAAGTATTTTTTGTAATGTTCGGTATTATAGGCATGGTCTTCATAGTAACCCCGTGGATGATGTTGCCAACCTTTTTCCTGGGTATCCTATTTTACTACGCTAGAACTATTTATCTAGCCTCCGCTCAAGACGTAATGAGACTGGAGGGGCTATGTAAGTGTGTATTGGATTAAGAATTATTATTATTAATGTTTTGGTATTTGTAGCGAGGGCACCTATGTATTCGCACGTATCGGCAACACTGTACGGTATGTCCACCATAAGATCGTCGAAAGCACAAAGAATGATCGTTAAAGAATTTGATACGTTGCAAGATCAAAACACGGGCACGTGGTTCTTATACCTAGCGAACTCGGAAACTTTTGGTTTGTACTTGGACATAATAAGCACGATATTTTTGGCGATTGTGACTTACCAATTTTTGATATTCGACGATGGGAGCACCCTTAAAGGCGACGTCGGTTTGGTAATAACTCAAAGTTTGATTTTGATGGGTATGTTGCAATTTGGCGTTAGGCAAACTGCAGAGGTCGCTGGTAATATGACGAGTGTTGAGAGGATTCTACAGTACACCAAGTTGGATAAGGAAGGTCCATTCGAGAGTTTACCCACAAAAAAACCACCACACGGGTGGCCCAGTGCAGGAGGAATCAAGTTTAAGAATACCTACTTGAAATATGTTCCTGAAGATCCTCCTGTGCTGAAGAATCTTAATATTGAAATAAGGCCAGGAGAAAAGGTATAATTAATACAAATTCCAAAGAATATTTTATGTAAATTCTTGGCAAATTACACAGGTATACAAAATTTGACGTGCTAAATCCGACCTCAGAATGTGTTATAAGATTGCAGTCTAGTTTGTATATGATCATAAAATCGTCTCTAAAATAACATATTCAATAAAAAAGTTTTAAGAACAAAAATAATCGTTATTTGAACTATTTTTAGGTTGGTATAGTTGGTAGAACTGGCGCTGGAAAATCAACACTGATCGCCTCATTATTTAGACTCGCCAAAATAGAAGGTTTAATAGAAATAGACAACATAGATACAGAATCTATAGGTTTAGAAGACTTGAGAAAAAATATTTCCATCATTCCCCAAGAACCTGTGTTATTTTCTGCCACAGTCAGATACAACTTGGATCCATTTGACAAGTGTTCAGATCAAGTATTATGGAAAGCACTTGAAGATGTAAAAAAATAAAAAATTCCAAAACAAGTTGTTATTAATTTTTTTTTAGGTTGAGTTAAAGGACTCTGTAGAAGCCCTTACGCAAGAAGTCAGTGAAGGAGGGTCAAATTTCAGTGCTGGACAAAGACAGTTAGTATGTTTAGCAAGAGCTATTGTTAGAAATAACAAAATCTTGGTAATGGATGAAGCTACTGCCAATGTGGATCCACAGTAAGTATTAAACTTTTCAGTCCAAGTTTTTTTTCCTATAGTTTTTAAATCTTTTAGTACCGACGCTTTAATCCAACAAACTATCCGCAAAAATTTCAAAAACTGCACAGTGATAACGATAGCGCACAGATTGAATACCATTATGGATTCAGACAAGGTTCTTGTAATGGACGCTGGACAATGCGTTGAATTTGATCATCCACATGTTTTGCTGCAAAATCCGGAGGGATATTTCACGAAAATGTTGGAACAAACCGGCAAAAATTTGGAGGAAAAATTAAGAAAAGTTGCGCAGGATGCACATGAACAAAATCTGAACAAAGCGAAAGAAGATGCAACTGATGAAGTTCTTGATAGGAATGAACCTAAAGAGGAAAATAAAGAACAAGAAAATGAGGGAAATGCAGAAACCAAACTTTAAAACAAATTTGTGCAATTTTTGTTATACTCAGGTAAATATTGATGACATTTTTTTTGCGTAAAACAGACAGAACAAAAAAAAAATTTATACCTACTTATGTTTTTTGTTATTATATTGTTAATATAGGAGTTATATAGATGTAAGTGTTAAAATGTAAATAATTTATATTTTAAAACATGTATTTTTAAAAAACTTAATACTATATACTTAAATTTATTTTGTAAACATTTTACCAATTAAAAACAATATTTTTGTACTTTTTTCATTATTTACCTTCTTTAAAGCACTAAATTAGATGTACATCACCTTTTTTAATTAAATTGGCCACACTATTATAAGAAATAATTAATTGTGAGCCTTTATCAAGATCAACCAAGTCATTCTCATCATTTCTACCATCATCAATAATGACACCTTCAACTTCTTGTTTGGATTTTAAAAATACAAAACTGTGAACATTTGGCACCACAGGCTGGCTTTTCCAGTCTTCTGTGACCACTGTGAAGCTTGTGACTTTCTCAAAATGACTATCTAAACCTAAAATAAACATTGTTAGGCAATATTTGTACATATTTCATCCCTTACTTTGTATAAAATCCTTTAGGAACTGAAATTCACTTTCAGTCAAATATTGATCTTCACCTTTACTAATTCGCTCACTTTCCTGCTTCATAATATGATTACAATACGCTTCTATCTTCTCTATTCTCGTTCTTAAATAACTACAAACCAAAAACCTTAATCGATCAACTTCAAGTTGATGAATAGTTTTCCGAAAATCCTTACTTTCAAGGTTTTGTATATTATCTTCCATATAAGTAATCTGACCTACAAAATTCACCATTAAGTAAATATATATAAAAGACATGATTTTTACCTAATAAACATTCAACAACATCGAATTTGTGCGGTAAAATTTCAGGAGCAAATTTTTCATTCAACCACGCTTCCTCCATTAATTCTATCACTTCCGCCGGGGTTAATTGTTCGTCTTCATCGTTTTCATCCTGTAGAGCATTTTCTAGATCCAAATCATCGCTTAAATTGAGGTTCTCCATTGTGTTTATTTTTGAATGTACGAATTTAAGGTTATGATGCAACCGCGGGAACTTTTGACGTTTATTTTTGTATTATGTGCCATCTTTTGGTAATTTGACAAACTAAAATCTAGACGGCTAGGTGTTTTTATGTGTAAACCTGGTTGCATACGTAAACAAACTACATTCGATAGGATCTTTTTAATTGAGATTTAAACCATTTAATTGTTGGGTACCTATACTCATTTAGACACTTGCAATCTTACTATCTAAATATTTAATTTTTTATATTGGTGATTTAACAATTAAAAATAATTGCAAACTTTCATTTTTTATATTCAGACAAAATTGTGCGCTTTAATTAATCAAAATGAATTTATTGTAATGCTTTTTATGGAGATGGATATTAATTTAGATAAAAGTGCGTTAACATTAATTCGGTTGTTCTTTATTTAATTTTCTTCGATGTTCTTTATTTTTTGACAGGTTCCCAAAATTAATTATAAAAATCACAAAGAATGTAAAAAACGTCTTACGAAATATCGAGATAAAAATCTCAATGTCATGCAAAAGATTATCTGAAATTATAAAATTTGCATATAATGTTATTTATGAGGAACTTTCACTAAAATTTTCATTAATAGAAATTCAAAATTGGCACGTCTAGTAAGAAGACTACGTTTTTATTAACTTAAGTCCGAGATTTTATGCAAATTAAAAAAAACATTTTGTTGTATTTTTAGAAAATGCTATTAAAATGACCAAATTATGAGTTTAGTTTTTAATGGCTATATTTATTTGTTTTTTAAACAAATGTTAAATATGTTTGTGCAGGCTAGGGTACCCATGTCCAAATATGCGGGTACTCTTAGATTCAAGAACCAATTTTTTATATTATTCTTGGTTTTTCAATAAAATTGCTCATAAAACTTTCATTTTTATTTTCATTCAAGGTGTAAAACAATATTTAAAAATCATTTATGCAAATTGACAATGGAAATGAAAGTACCAAAACTACTAATAATTAAATACAGTGCTCGGTAACTTATTAAAATTATAATTAAAAATTTAAATATTTAAATAAATCCAAATTTTAAACTACGATAATTGTACCTATGTACCTACTTGTACACAATTTCTCGTTAATATTTATATAAATAAAAAACAATGCAACACAAAAAATATCCTAATCACTATGAGTTTTTAAAATAAGATTAGTCTACGCATTATTAATATTTTAACATAAAAATTGAATTTTTAATAAATTAAATTTAATTAATTAACTAATTAATAACTTTGTTCCTATTTTTAAAATTATTCATACATTTTTAAAATTTAAATAATTTTTTATCCTGCAGGGTCCCAAAAATACCACAATAGGAATGGTTAATCAGCTTTCTTTTTCAGCCTATGAGACACACAGCGTTGCCGAATTGTTGAAATGAAAGTACCAAAACTACTAATAATTAAATCCAAATTTTAAACTACGATAACTCAATTATTGGCGTTGAGAAACTATTTAATACTTTTTTATTTTTGTATTAGGATAATAAAATAATTTTCACATTTAGTATTATTTTACAAGAAAGGCACTTTATTCTAACGATTGTATGACATTTTACAACTGTCAAATAATTAAAACTAACTTCAGTCCGTGACTAAAAACCTGTTGCTAACTTCAGCCCGTGACTAAAATGCCATAAAGCCACAACTTGTCAATGTGTATTTAAAAGGCCACTTGGAAACACGTACGATAATAGGTGTTTTAAAGGTTGACTAGAAAAAAATAAAAGCGATTAGTTTAAAACATCTAAGACAAAAAGGTTTTGCTTAAATTTTTTTAAAAGAATAATTTTTAAGTACGAGATTAAGAAATACCTCTATAATATCCATATTATTATTATAATTTTTAAATTCTTGAAACAATATAAATTTTTTTAAATAATTTAAGAATTTAAAAAAATATTAATATAGGTAAACAATTCATAATATTAATAATAATGTTATAAAATTGTTACCAAAAACGGTTATATAGTTGCCTAATTATACTATACAGGGTGTCCAAAGTTATCTGCTCACCTTTGCAAATTAGTGGCATTTTTTCTTCTAATTAAAATGGCGAAAACAAAAAAAATATCTGAACGTCGAGTTTCAGAAAAATTCACAACAATATATTTTTACATATTTTAAAAGACAATTTAATTTTGAACAAAAAATTATTGCATAATTACCGTAAATTATAAATAAAAAGTAATAATTTGGTTATTTCAACAACCATCAGAAAGTTCAAGTGCGTATTAATTGTTTACTTTTAAGTTTAGGGTAAGTAGTTGGGCAATAATAATTTTTGATTCAAATTAAACATGTTAAAAAAATTGTTAATTTTGTGATTATTTCGGAAACCCGACCACAGTTACTGTACAATATACATGTGACCCGACGTTCAATTGTTTTTCTGTTTTTACTATTTAAATCGGAAGAAAAAATGCCACCAATTTGCTAATGACTTTGTAGCTCTAATCAAGATATAAAGAAGGCATAGATATGTAATTATAGTCAAACTTTATTAAACACTGTTAATTATAGAAAGAATATTAAATTTATAATATTGGTCCTTTTAAAATACACTCTATTGTTAAACGATAAAATACACGCCATGTATGAACTAATAAATAAATTATTACATACTTTACATTCACTATTTTTGTGTTACATAATGAAATAAGATGATTTGAGAAAAAAATGACTCGGACATTTATTCAAACGGTTAAGCGGAAAAGCAGCATTTACCGTGCTTCCTTATTTGTGACCAATAAATAAACATGATAGAAAATTATTAAATATTATGTAAATAGGTTGTATAAAAGTTTTTTGTGAAATTTAAAACCTAAATATTGCTAAAAAGTTATGTCTTGCATCTTGAATCACGGAAATCTCCACTTTTTTGGGTGAGCTGTCGGGCTGGGCTCGTTTTAAATTTTAATGTTATTCCATTATTAATATTGTTTTGGCAAAAATTCGTCATGTATGTAAAACCCACATTAATTTCTTTTTTCCCAGGGAAAAATACTTTCGCCAGTTAAAACAGTCAGTCAACACTTTCATTGGAAATGGGACTTTGTCTCTCAATGCATCATTGTTACACACTAAACAAATAACTTCGATGTCATAACCGTTACGGATTTATTACGTTACCTAACAACAAATATGCCGAGGCGCTAAATCCAAAATAGATCATTCGCTGAATTTTTTGCTTGTGGCCACTTTTGGACGTTTCAGGAATTCCTTGTTAATTTTATAACATTATCGGGTTATTACATGAATTTGGTTTTCTAATTTTTGTATAATCCCGTTTGTTTTGAATTATTTATAACTTAAAATGTAACCATAATGGTATATTATGTATTAAGTTTGATAAACGCCATTTGAATAAAATGAGTGTCTAGAAAAGTTTATAAACGAGTTGCATACTATACTATACTTTTTCTAGGTACAACAAATACTATAAAATTATTTAAATTTAATATTTGTATAGAGCGACATCTATGAAAAAAGAGTAACTCGCGTAACAATTTCTAACTTGGGAATCTGTATTAATATTGTGCGCCCCAGTCAAAATGTCAAATTTGTATGCGTAAATTGAAATTTATCCCTTAAAAATGGAATAACAACCGTATAAATGATATAGAAGCAGGTTTTCACAGTAAAAGTGAAGAGAATGTTTTATGGGCATTTCACGGTGGAGTCTCCACCAGACATTTTTAATGCTTTCAATTAAATCTAGTTTACAGCCTGCAAATTCAAACTTATTATAAACTTTTTAAATAGGTATTGGCGTTAAGAAACTATTTTATACTTTTATTGTTGTATTAAGATAATAAAATAGTTTCCACATTATTATTTCACAAGAAGGGCACTTTATTTTAACAATTGTATGAAATTTGACAACTGTCAACTAACTTAAAACTAACTTCAGCCCGTGACTAAAACGCCATAAAGCCACAACTTGTCAATAAGTATTTAAAACATCACTTAGTATTATGAAAACATGTATGATAATTTTTTATTTAATTTTATACCTTAAATTTAATTTGGTCGAATTTTACTTGGGTAGTTGGTTGACAGTTAATGTTAAAATCGATTCGCCATGCCGTCCTTAATTTACTTATTTACAATAAGCGGCTGTTAATGTTAAAGAAGAAAAAAGGATTTTCTTTGGTGTTAAAGAAAATTTATTGCCAGAAAACTCGTAAGTACTAGAAAAATCATAAAAATATTATAACCGATATGCAAAATACTATGCTGTTTAAAGTAAGCCAACCTATAAAATCAAAATTTTGGGTGGGATAAAGTATCCCATCACAGCACCGAAAGCGGTGTTATAATAAGTCATTATGAACGCAAAATAGATAATAGTATATTAAAGAACTAATGTCATAAGACGTCATTTTGTCGCACGCGGACAATTTATAAAACGAGCGACGAAGGAGCGAGTTTTATAATGGACAAGTGCGACAAAAGGTCTTATGACATGAGTTCTTTATGCTATTTTATCTATTTTGCAAACATTTTATAAAATAAATTAATTTTATACCTTATATTTAATTTGGTGGAATTTTACTTTACATAGTTGGTATCACAGTTTGAAGTTTGAAAGGTCATTAACCTTTCAAACATTATCACATTCTTTCGCTATAGCGTCGTTAATTTACAATACCTAAGTATTTACAATAAGCGGCTGTTAAAGAAGAAAAAAGGATTTTCTTTGGTGTTAAACAAAATTTATTGCACGAACAGTCTCGTAAGTACTAGAAAACAAATCATAAAAATATTATAACCTATAGGTATTCAAAATTGTATTTTACCAGTAGCCAACTTATAAAATCAAAATTTTGGGTGGAATAAAGTACCTCATTAAAGAACCAAAAGCGGTGTTATAATGAAGTCATTATGAAACCAAAATAGATAAAATAGTTTTTTTAAACCAAAGATGTAAAAATATTCTTTATTTATGAACGAATTTTAAAATTATAGATATTAAACCAGAGAGGGTTATCTCTGATTAAGCTAAAAACTTGTAGCAATTGCTATTAATAATGACCAAGACACAAATTTAGTACAGAGAAAAACAGTTTAATATAAATAAACATACGTACACTTGAGATGTCCCAATAGTGAGAATTGACTTAGGGCAATTGACCAACTAATTACATTATTTTAAGATTATATCTTTTTTCAAAGATTGTTTTTAAGATTAAGATTGTTTTTTATGTAACATGATTACTAATTGAACTTACTTAGTATTGGAATCAAACTATTGTTTTAAATGTGTTACATACATTTGAGGGGGCAAATCTTATATTCCATTCACAAAATAGTTCATTACATAAAAATGCGGACATAATGAGGAAAATCACAAATTAATTTATATAGTATAGTAGGCTGTGCATCTTATTTCTAAGCAATGACTTTACTTTATTTATTTGTTTTAAAAATTAAATTTAAGAACTGTCAATTTGGCAAGCGTCATAACTTAGTTCTATATTTTTTAAACATTGTTATGTTATAAGGTATCAAGCTTAATTTAACGAGTTACTTAACTTTTTATTGTTTTAAAAACAATAATATTGGTATAAATTTCTTTATGTTTAACCTTGATCTTTATTATTATTTTTATTTTTTGATTATTTTGCTGAAAAGTGGTCATTTTTGACGACTTTGAAGCGCTGTATTTTCGTTACTGTTCGTAAAAATACGGTCTTTCACAGCATATTTTTTATTTACTTTAAAATAATTCCCTATAAAAGTTTTTTTCGAGCGTTTTTTATTTTTAAATAAAAGGGCTTTAAGGATATTTTCTCGAAAAACCCTTGAACACTTAAACTGAGATATAAGTTAAAGTATTTTTATCCAAAATTTTAAAAAGATTGGTAAAGGCGTTTTAGAGTTTTTCAATTGTTATTCGTTAATTTTGACGCGCAGTGTAGTAGAATTCCCTATAAAAGTTTTTTTCGAGCGTTTTTTATTTTTAAATAAAAGGGCTTTAAGGATATTTTCTCGAAAAACCCTTGAACACTTAAACTGAGATATAAGTTAAAGTATTTTTATCCAAAATTTTAAAAAGATTGGTAAAGGCGTTTTAGAGTTTTTCAATTGTTATTCGTTAATTTTGACGCGCAGTGTAGTAGAAAAATTCCCAGAATTTTTTTTAAACATTTTTGTGAATTTTTATTATTGTATTGTTAATATTATATGTAAATTCAAAATAACATTTTTAAAAGGGCGCGGAAGGGTTTAAATTAAATCTAAAGTTTTTTAAATAGAAAAATTTTGTTTAGTTTAATGTTTCCACTAATCTTAAAAACTTGTAGATTAAAAGTAAAAAATACCAATAAATTAAAAATATAAACAAATTAAAATTGTCATTAAATCTTCAAAATATGTTCCACCCTTCATAATATATTTTAAATTTATTTTTTATTATAAAAAAAACAAAATATAATAACCAAAAATATTTAATACCATTTAAAATGAAATTATTATTATTATTATTAAAAAGGTGTATGTATCTTGAGTGCACCCGGTATATAGCTTGAAAATGAGGAATCAGACAAAAGCAGATATATCCGTTTTAAGCAGTTTCTGCAACATTTACACAAAGAGTATAGTGTTTTAAGACCTAAAAACTCTTTTTTTAATTTTTTGTCTACCTGCATTATGTGTTATAGTAAAACAACAAAATGGATTTATCTAGTCGTCACCCTAATATAACAAGGTTGTATGTTAAAAAAACGAAAAATTTAAGTCTATGTTTCTACAGGATTATACGTGGCCTAGGCTTCACATACCACTTAAAAATAATTCTACAGAATGTAAATTCTATATATACATATATATATAGAGTTATTTTCAAGTTGTATGTCAAGGGTGGATTACATAAAACCTTGTAGAAGCATAAACTCAAATTTTTCGTTTTTTTAACATACAACCTTGTTATATTAGGGTGACGTAGTGTTGCTTGAATTGACAGGATTGACCTATATAGGTGGTCCAGGATTATTCTGAAAAAAGTTAATGCCATTTAAGTTAATTTAAAATAACAATAATTTGAATTTATCTTATTTTTATTGAAACATGAATATCAATTGTATTAATTTGGATTTAATTGCTTTTTCTTGATTTGCTAGGTTTCGAGACCGGCATTCTATATCAATTACTTGGTTGGGCGCAATTCTGAGTTCACCAATTAATCTTACTTCATTTACTTAGTTCATACCTAATTCATTTTTCAACAAAACTGGATTTATCTGATTTTGTCCGAATGCTCCACAATTGGTCTAACGGTCTAAAGTAGGAAGCCCAGAGAAAACTTAAAAACTATAAAAGATATTGCAAATTAATTAAATAGAAATTTAGAATATATTTTGGAATATTTCTGGATTTTTCAATATAATAATATAATTTATATTGATTATTTCCCTTACTATAATATGAACCAATCAAAAGCCTTGAATTTTTGAATAAATTTCGTTTAAATAAGCGATTAAATCACTAGAACTATTTAACAGCGATTAAATTTTAGCCTCCATATTGGATTTTTGTTTACGATTTTATGGTGTTATTTACAAGTTTTAACAAACATTTTTAAAAAAACAATTAAAAATAAGTTATCTAGTTTACGAAATATCAATTATTACTTATTACATACCTTAAATTAATGGAATTATCTTTAAAAAAATATTTATAAATTTTGACACATACGTCAGATTTTATGAATTGTCAAATAGTTTTCTTTAATTCGAAAAATAATCTAGACGTACATATCACTCAACCTATAAATTTAATCTGTCAAACTATGCTCAGTAAGTTTTTATTTGATTTTTCTCTTTGGAAAATAGTTTCATGCAAAATAATTAAAAATAAAACCCCTCGACCGCTACGCGGTCTCGTGATTTTATTAAATTATTTTGCATTCAACATTTTCCGAGAAAAACCAAACAAAAAACTACTGAGCCTAGTTTAACCGATTAAATTCATAGTTCTCGTGATATGAGAATACATCCTGAAATATATTGTAAATTCTTCAAATATTAAAAAAAAAATTTTGATTTGATGGTATGAATATATTACCTTATTGGGACCTTATTAAGACATTTAAAGATTTAAATGTTAGTTTTAAAAAATTAAAAAAACAATTGGGTATTTTAATAAAACAGCATCTTCCCATTTACAAAGCAACGAAGAATAAGAAAGCTACCGGAGGTAGGAGCATCCTCGAGAGGGAGAGTGATCTTCTGGCGCTCAACAAAACCCACTGCACGCGAGTCGAGAGGGAGAATCGCTAAAGTCATCGTGAACGAAGAAGATCAGTTTCTTTCGCGAACCATCCGGGTCTGTCTTCATAACAGTGCCGCGCGCTTCAAAACGGTTCAGTGAAGATGAGGAACTCTTTCGTCGCTTATGTTCTCCTGGTTGTGTGCGTGAAGAACGCTCCTGCGCAGTTCATTGGACAGCCGCCGGTGAGTACACATGCCGAAATGTTTTAAGTGAAGACGCGCGAGGGAAATCTTCTGCTTCCTTTAAAGATGCCTTCGCTCGATCGCGGCGTGCGGAAGAAATTACTCGCCTACTGTTGCGAATGGAGTTCCTGTTTCGATGTAGAAATGCGGTTTCTTCTTGTTGGATTCTCGTTGTTTTTTATTGTATTTATGGTGATGCGTTTTTTAAGATGAGATTAAATGCCGACAATGAATTGTTAGATCGGGATTTCTACCTTAATTAATTAATTGCGGTTTTTAAATTACAATAGCATTCGTTTTTACTCTCTAAAAATGAATTAGTCAAAAATGACTAATTGCTACAGTTATTAGTGGCTGCTTTTTTACTTGTACCATTGTTAACCATGGGATACCATGATATCCCAAACTTTAACAGCCAATTCTTATGTAAAATTGTCCCCTGATTCCGAAAATGTCGTCAAAAATTAAAAAAGTAGAACAGTTTTTGAGATATAGTCAATTTTCCATTTAATATGGAATTGACTATATCTCAAAAACTGTTCTACCTTTTTTTAACTTTTTACGACATTTTCAGATTCAGGAGACAATTTTACATGGAAATTGACTGCTAAATGTTCGGGATACAAATTGCTATTGACGAGAATTATTAGTGGCTGCTTTTTCACTATGACAATTAGTCATTTTTGACTAATTTTTTTAGAGAGTACATTTACATTTTTTTCTACCCGTACCTGTAAAACGCATATTATCGTACATGTTTTCACGACATTAAGTGATCTTTTAAATACACATTGACAAGCTGTGCCTCTATGGCGTTTTAGTAACGGCTGAAGATAGCTTTAAGTTGGTTTGCAGACTTCAAATGTCACCATCGTTAAAATAAAGTGCCCTTCTTGTGAAATAATACTAAAATGTAGAAATTATTTTATAATGCTAAATGCAAAATTATTAAATGGTTTCTTTGAAATATTTATATGTAGGTTTGTACTAGGGTTTTAAAGTGTCGGAAAAAAATTGGGGAAAAACCTGTTTTTTTCCATTTTTTTTTCGACGATTTGTAAAAATTAGCTTTTTGGAAAAATTTGATTTTTTTGAAAAAAAAAGTGGCAATCAACAACTTAACATTATTTGAATGAAAAAAAAATATCCTAACAGACAAAAAAACTAAAAAACATTGAATTAAATTAAACTGATTTAAGAAAATAAACGTAAACGTTAAATATATTGTCGGTTGGGTCGTTTTTGCAAAAAGGAGTCCATTGAAAATATCCAATTACAAAATTATAATTTTATAAATCAAAGTGTTAATAAATAAAACAAAAGTTATGTTAATACAGCACCGAATATGTTTTTTTGTGACCCGGTATATTATTCTTACTGAATTAAAATAAAATATATACATAATTATTATATTATCATAATATTATGATTCAGCGTCGAAAATTCACTTTTTTTCTTAATATCAGGGTACGGATAGTATCCGTAAAAGTTCGGAAAAATTTACTTTTGAATTTTTTCATTTTACCCTTTGAATATAATAAAAAAGTGCAAGAGTCAGTTTTTCTGAAAATGTACCAATTTTTCCGTGTTTTTTTCGCCGGCTCAATTTTTCCGGAAATTTTATAACCCTAGTTTGATTTTGCAGCAAAGTGTTTATCGATAAAGCATGAATAATTTCGGATGGAGTATCCATAGAAACATTCTCTTCACTTTAAAAAACTACTTAATATATATATACAGGTTTATCAGATTTAAACGGTTGGTAGTCCATTTTCAAGGGGAAAATTTCGAATTTCACAAACTGACACTGACATGTTAAAAATTGGCAAAACAGATTCCTAATCCCAGTTTTGTTTCCTCTAATTTTGTTTAGATAGCGGTCTATACAAATATTTAAATAAATTAGTAATTAGTAAATTACTGTTTATAATAATGTTCGTCGTAAATAAATCGTTTATAAACTTTCTAGACACTTATTTTTATTAAACACTCGCTAGCAAGCTTCGCTCGTGCCTAATTACAATTTGTTACTAAAATGACTTCAATCTTAATACATATCTAATATAATTGGGGATATCTGTCAAGCTCTTTTCTATTATTTGTATTCCCAATGAAGGAAAAATAATTTTTTTCAAAGAAAGATAAAGAAGTGTTTGTTGTTTTGAAAGAAAGTAGGAGAAATCATTAAGAATGGATTTTTTCCTAAAAATACCAAATATAAAGAAAAATGTAATTTTCAAAAAAATTAAAAAAGCATCGACATTGTTTTTTTCCTCTTTTTTAGCCGGGGCCATTTTTTTGACTTTTTGACTTTTGACCTTTGAATGACACTTTACCATAGCTAATTCCACGCGAACGAAGTCTTTATAATTTACCACCAATATGACATTGAATGTAGGTACATATTTGTATCAAAACAGTAATATTAAGTCGTTGACTGAATATTTATAGCTAATAATTACACGCTCTGATTGGACCGTTACAGATCTCACCTGTAATTCAATTAAAACAAGCATAAGTAATTAAGGCTGACTGAGATCTGAATTTTTAAATTTATTTATTTAGGTTGCAGTTTTATTGTTTAAATAAATAATAGTGGCAGAAAACGAAGAAAATTGTTTTGTTGTGTTAATATTAAGTATGTTAAAGTTAATAAGGATAATCGCTGACAGGTTATTTGCATTTAAATTACTAAAAATAATTTAAAGAAAGTACTTATGTTAAAGTTAATAAGGATAATCGCTGACAGGTTATTTGCATTTAAATTACTAAAAATAATTTAAAGAAAGTACTACTACTTAGTTATTTCCCATGAATAATTTTCATGACAGGATATTTAAGTTAAGTTTAAAGAAAAACTACTGTGGTTTTCTATATTTATAAACCGATTATTTATTGTTAAATTGTTCAATTATTTAACACAATGAAGTGTAATTTATTCCTAACAATGCATAACAATTGCATAGTGTTTTGCATAAATGTTATGCAAATATTTTTGAAAAAATGTTCTTGATTTCACACTTTAATAATATAAAAAAGTATTGCTGGACACATTAAAACAATCTTATGGAAATTAAAGAATTCTAGAAAACCTTTTAGAGCATGCTAAAAATTTAATATACGTACCAACTGATGGTCACTATAGCGAATATACATATATTATTGACCATAAATATTATGCATGAAACCAATACAAAATATATACTTTCAAATCTTATGAAGTATGAAAAACTTTCATGGGTATTTGTTTATTATTATTTAAATCCAGGTTTCGATTATGGGGGGTGTGATTTTCACTAGTAATACCATTATAATATATTATTTCCGGACATTTTTTCGAGCTCATGAATATTTTGAAAATTATCACCAATCGAAGACGATCTACCATCGAAAATATTAAAATATAATGTTATTAGTTAGATTCTTTACAATATTCTTTAAGGCGCATTCGCCAAAAATTTCAAACATGACCGTGATTTATTGAAAGTGTCATTGGATAGTTGACCTTTGAACCAATAAAAGAAAATATTACATTAATCGCATTCACTCTCATCTCGGACAATCCTTTCTCTATTTTGAAAACATAAAAATAAAAATGTCAAAGGTTCATCAATAATTCATGCCCATGGGCGAACAAATACTCCTACAATTTAAGTTTATCCTGTCTATGTAAAATTTAAACATTTTTTAATTAGCTGCATCTACCTATAATTATAATTAGTTTTAAATAGTAAAAAATATAATGACCATTGTTGTGCAGGATTAAGAAATATATTAGAACATCTTAATATTTAATGAGGAGTATAAAGGTCATATAAAATTACATATAAAGATATAAATATCATCAAAATAATTATTATTAGAAAGTGAATGATGTTTAGCGTTTATGTTTGATAAACTGGACTATTTAGAATTCTAAAGGATTAGGTACACGATTATATAAGTGTGTAGTGGGTTTATGTTATTTGAAATAATATAGATTTGAAGTGCATATTGGCAAACGACCTATTTGAAGTGAAAAGTAACAAATAAGGTTATGTAATATGGTTGCATTACAAACATCCGTACCAAGGCAAAATTTATTGATCTAATGGAATTTACTAATGGTTTTGATTTACACATCGTTAAATGTGTTTATTTAAACCATTTATCCTCATATTAATAAAAATACTACTCTATTTTGAAATTATTTTAATAGCATAGTTAAATTTTTAGATATGTAAGTTACACTAGTTAATAATTTTATTAAACCATCTGATTTAAATTATATCGGAGGTCAAAGTTTAAAATAAATAAAAAAAATATTTTGTTCTGAATTTAATTCATGATTTTGCATTTTACTTGGTTATCATTTAAATTATTTGTTTACAGTCTAAAACCAATTTTGGAAAAAAGTGATGTTTTTTTTATTTTTTTTGACATAAAAAACTCGCTAATTAAGTAAATAAGACGTGCAACAAGGAAATTTACAAAATAGATCTCGTCCTTTTTTTCGTAAAACCATCCGTTTAAATGATATCGGAGCAGGACCGGCTTTATACATTTCGGTGCCCCATGCACAAGTTATTTTTGCCGCCCCTCTTAACAATTACTTAAACACTTTGAAGGTCTCATTTAGCTATTGCTAAAATTTGAACCGAACTTACCCAAAAAAAACAAGTAGATACATATAAAATTATTTATCCAGGGTGCAAGTATTCTTCTATGTATGTTTTTTATTTAAAGAGCTACAAGGTCGATTAAATTGGAGAAAAGTTGCGTGTTTATACATAAGTCTATTTAAATAATTTTACAAAACTGAATACGTCAAAACCAAAAGGCATTATAACTTCGTTATTCTTGGGATTTATAAAAACAGTAATTTTTATTCATTTTTATCCAATTTGAGACTTTTTAGCAAACTAGATTTTTAGTTAACACCACCATCTTTTGTTTTTCCTATGGCCGCCATATTGGAATTGGAAAGTTATGGCGGTCATTATAAAAACAAAAGATGGTGG